TCTTTTCGGCAATTTCTGCCCTTGTATGAAAACGCATGGGTTTGGTCAATCCTTGGAGTGTGTTTAGAGAAGCAACGAAGGGATCGCTCTGAAACTTGACAGGTACCTTAGTGAAGATATGGTTCAACAGCTAAGCAACGCAGCTTACTATGGGATTATTGCTCTCAGAAAAAATGACCAGAAACGGACAGCCATTGCCAGGTAATTCAACATTTATCAGGAGCCGTTTGTGAAGTCCTCCAAAGAAATGCTGCAACAGGGGCACCTACTCCAATACCTCGACCAGGGTGTCCGCGTATCACACCAAAAGACAGGATCGCCTTCTCCTTAGAGGACGCCGTGCTGGTAGTACAAAGACAACCAGTGTCTTCAGAAAAGAGAGGCAGAATGTCATTCAAACGCCCGTTTCAAGGTCCCTCGTGAACAAGAGATTACTGCAAGCCGGTTATTTTGCACGAAGGCCAGTAGGGAAACCACTGTTAACAGCAGGTCATATACAGCGACGTCTGCAATGGGCTGGGGACCACGTGCGTTTGCAGCCAAAACACTGGAATCACGTCGCTTTCATTGATGAGGCCAGACATGGATTTTTTAGGGTTGATCGTCGGATCCATGTCCACCGACGTGTACGAGGGGCATAAAACGATGATTGAGTACTGCTTAGGGTGCAAGCAGGGGATGGTAACGTTTCTGTTTGGGGAGCATTTCATGTCGGTGCCCAGAACCAGTTGGTTTTTCTAGGAGGCAACCTCATCCAGGATTCCTACAGAGACATTCTACAGCAAACAATGCTTCGATTGGTAAGAGTTATCTTCAGGAACAACTTTGTGTACCAAGAGGACTGCGCAACCCCACATCGAGGCCGCAGAATCACTGTTTTTCTTCAAAAACCAATGGGTTCAGCAACTGCCCTGGCCTGCAAACTCTCCAGATATGAACCCAATTGAAAATCTGTGGGCGGAAGTAATTCACAGAATTAATAGCTATGGTCCTCGGCCGGTAAATAGTGATAAACTGCGACAGGCAAATATCACTGCGTGGAATGATATCCCCACCCAAACTCTAAAAAACGTGTCACAGGGCATGCCATGTAGGATGAGGGCGCTGCAAGCGGCTGCTGGAAGTCATACCCGCAATTACTGACTTTTCATGATATACTGTAGTGAGTTATTTGATTGTGTAACATATCACTGTCCGGAGGCTATCATTTTCTAAATACTGGCATCAAACTATGTCAGATTTGATATTATTGACCAAAATATCTCACAACAGAAGACTGGATGTTATTATCACTCAGCGACATACTTTTTTAATGACTCAAGCCCAAACAATTTTAATCAGCACTCAAAAATAACAATGATAAAAAATATTCCATATTAAGTAGCAACCCTGTAACTACATTTAAAATATTATCCTTATAGCGAACATATAATATCACTCATGTCAATATTTCTTCTGACAGCATTGATCTATAAATACAACTTTATGGTTTTTTAATTCATTTATTTTTATTTTATCTGAAGGGTACTTATTTTGATCCCAAAGAGGATCCGCCCCGGCCATAGCCAGATCCTCCTTGCCAGGACGAGACAGACGTGATATCATCACTGACGTCATCAACTCGACAGGGGTCGCTGTTCTTCAAGACGAGCATATGTTGGTCTGGAGTGACAGTGTCACTGGGGTGTTCAAAAAGTATTCTTATGATGTGAACAGTTGCTCGGAAATCCTCAAGAAACCCGGGAGCTTCTTTTATGCCATAGCCATATCGAGTGATGGTTTCAGTCTTTATTCAGTCTTGTTAACACGTTTATTTTATATTTTATTTATTGGTTGCATATGAACCAGAAGTAATTACCTCCGCCAAGGAGGTTATGTTTTCATCCCTGTTTGTCTGTTTGTCTGTCTGTCATCAACATAACTCAAAAAGTTAAGGACCGATTTTGATGAAATTTACAGGAACGTTCAGAAGTGGGCAAATGAACAGATGATACGTTTTTGGTGGTGATCCGGGTCAATAATCAATCAATAATCAATAATAAAAAAAAATTGCTGCCTTGGCGGAGGTCTGCGCTCTCGGAGTGCTTTTCTAGTTGCAGTTATTTCGGAGGTTGAAATGAAAGAGAAAAAATATGCAAATGTAGAAACAATGCCATCAGCATGCACAATATTTTCAATAAGGGATAAGTACACTCTCGGCAATCTCTGGCACGATTTGCTTTCCGGTAGTCGCAACTTACAACACTAATTTAAAGCTTATTATTATTATTATTATTATTATTATTATTATTATTATTATTATTATTATTATTATTTTATAGTACTGTTACACGCCAATGCTATTAACTTTAGTGGATCCGCATAACTTTAAAACCTATCTCGAAAAAACACATCAAAGCAACATAAGCAATAACGGTACAGGATGGTGGGAACAGTGGGCCACATCCCCTCCACCGAAAGTTTCGAAGGTGCACTGTACTCCCCCCCCCCCCTCCTAAAAAAAACAAATAAATAAATAAATTTGCATCACTGTTAGATCCGGGTTTGTGTGTGTAAATGAAATGAGAGGTTAATTATATATTTGGCTTAGTTAAGACTGCTTAATTCGGATAAGCGACTACGTAAAGTAGTCTCCATGTTATTGATAGGAAAGTACGTAGCAGTAGATGTAGTTGACATATCCTTAGAAAGTGCAGTCACCGTTTATAGGAAAATTCCGCGTCAAAACAACCCAGCGGGCAAATTATGTTGTTTTAACGTTGAAACAACGTTGAACCATAACGTTGAGAAGACATTGAAAATTGTGTCAACCTCAGATAACAACGTTGTATCAACGTCAGAAAACAATGTTATATCAACCCCACCCAGCGGGAAATTAGCCTGGATGTGTTTAGCAGTAGGACATTTTTGATGGCTAAATATATGTAGGGTATAAATGTATGGCCTTTAAGTTAAAATGTCCAAGGTTTAGATTTATATACATAGTTCTTTTCCTATATATAAGGAGATAACTACAACCATATATATATATATATATATATATATTACAAAGTCACAGTCACCTCAACCTGTCTATCTATAACAGGTTACCAAGAACTGTTAACTCCATCACATTTAAGCAACTTATTCATCCTAGTATTAGCTGACCTTGCAAGGAATTCAGTTTATTGAATGTATTTCTGAATAACAAGTTAGGAAAATTCACTAGTTAACTAAAGGCTCAAAACAACCGTCACTTTTACTTTAAAACCATTTTGTTATTATTTTGATAAATTTAGTTACAGTATTGATAAACAAAGTATCACGTTTTCAATAATTAACATTTTAAATTAAAATCCATAACTGCAAGGTTGTGTCATTGACCAAAATACAACGTTGAGTCAAGAAGTTATAATGTCTCATTATAATTTCTTGGTTGAGTCAACGTCACATTATGACGGTGTTTCGACGTGGCTGGATCAACGATGATTTTACGTTGAATTTAGGTAGATCAACGGCAATTCAACGTATCAACCTGTTTTCAACGTTGATCCAACGCAACTATGCCTGCTGGGAATCACATACAGATTTATGTTACAGACGGTGTTAATAAAGTTATCGGCTCTTGAAATTTTGATATTATACTGTAAGTGAAACCTAAAACTCAGATAAAATTTAGAAGTCCTTATTCAAAGGGTACAGAGGGCAGCGAGGGCCATAAGAGTAATTCAAACAACTAACAAAACGAATTAATTTGGTTAAGGAAAGAGGTGGAAATCACATTGTAAGTCTCAGAACCATTAAGTTCCCTTACATATCGAGGGGCTTACCTTAGTGATACAGACTGCACCGGTCCACTGTGAGAGATTGCAATTTTATATAGCCAGATTATAACTTGAGAGTGTCCCTTAAACGGCCCCCGCGCTCAGCAGAGTCAATTTTTGGTAAAATTTAATATAGCAACAGAGAGTGAAGTTGTGGAGAACTTGGAAAGAAGAGTATTATGTAGCGATAGGACTGTCAATATACAGGATTTATCGCTACATCAAACAGCTTGAATTGAGAAAAGCCTCACGGGTAATATCTAGGACCAGACGCGGAAGTAATGCCCCAGTTAACAACTTAGGAAACGCACATGTCAAAGTAAACAGAATGTATCGATTAATTTAACAGCTCGACGTGAAAAGAGCCTTACAAGTAGCATCCAGGACCAGACGCGTCAGTAATGCCTCAGTTAGCAATTTCGGGCACACCCATGTCATTGTATACGTTGAAGGGGTCCATGTTCCTCCCTACCCAGGTTCTTCTAATATTTTACTTGTCACTAATGCATAGGAGAGGGAATATTACAACGAACTCACATGCTCAGTTCCAACTCTAAAAGTGTGTTTATTAAGTCCGAGCATTCAGCATTTATACACATTATCTACAGGGAATCTAACTGCATGTCACAGTGGCAGCAAATCATTTAAATACTAAATGCAATGCAATAGATAACAAGTGAGCGCTTCTACTTATAAGTTATATCAGTTCTACTTATCAGGTATACCTACACAGAGGGTGATAGATATTCATTCAAGACTGAAGCAAGGTGAATGATAATATGCTGACTGATAATATAAACATAATATGTAAATGAGTGAGTTCATCACATGCATTTAGTGGACCTTAACAACGTGTACAGAATTCAGTGCCCCATTAAACAACTGGAAGTAAAAAGAGCCTTACAAGTAGCATTCAGGCCCAGGCGCGAAAGTAATACCTAAGTGAACAACTTTGAAAACAGACAAACCCAATCTTTAGCGGAAGTCAAGGTCCAGAGAGCAACAAAAGGCTCTCTGTTAGGGAAACTTGCTTGCTCAGGTGATAGAATATATTTTTTACACTGTTTGTATCCTTATTCATCCTTTGACGATTCGTTCTTTACTTCATGGCTTTCCATTATTTTATTTAATTTTTTTTTGATTGCTTTTTATTATTTGCCTTAATTTAACCATTGAGTGTATCTCATACGCTAGGTGATAAGTGCATTAATTAATTTCTTTTCATATATTAATTTAAAAAGTCACAAACGGTGTCGTTCTATGATGTTACAAACTGCGAGTAAAGCATCCACAGTAGTTGACCTTGTGCACAAGTATCACATAAAAGGGAAACATTGTATAGCCATGTCTCTGATGGAAGCATAGACATCACAAAAAAGTGAAGAAATTGTCATTTTTGCACACAGCTACAAGTTGAACAGTATACATTTATGTAGCACAAAATAATTACTGTCGGGATACAGACATATGAATTTCAATTATGACGGCGAAACTCGAATTATATGAACTGGAAAACGAATTTATTGGCGGTAATTTCTCAACAGTCACACGTGCACAAAAATACAGTTTGCCTAGGTGATGAAGGAAATCCCGATGAATATTTTTTAATAAAATTGATTTTATGCTACATAAAAGTACTAGTCTAACGCATATTGAATACCATACACGTTATAGTAGGCATGTGATAAGGAGTGATATTTTACATACCTGTACATGCACACTCCTTGAATCATAGGCCTTCTATAAACTGTAAAGTATCCCCCTCACAATAATCGGACCATATTGGAACGTGTAGTATTTGCATTGTTTAGGAGGGGGTATGTAGCAATAATTTAAAGAAGAGTCGAAAATCTATAAATTAATATATATTTTCAAAAGATAAAAACTATTAAACGCTTGCCTTAAAGAATGTAAAGCTGAAATTCGGAATTTTTTTATTATCATTATATTACTGAAAGCAAACAACTTAAATACTTGACATATTCTCTTTCCGCACGCGATTTCCTTCTAGAGCATACATCCATGTACACCATTTGAACATGTAAGATGATACAAGATATAATATTCTCCATGCGTAAGCTGTTTGTGCGTGTGTGTGTGTGTGTGAGAGAGAGAGAGAGAGAGAAACTACTCAAGAGCGCTCTAGTTTGTCAGATTATATGGCCAGAATAATTCCCAAATCTCCTCTGTTGCTTTATTCTACTGACCCGACCTCACTACCATTTCTAAGCCGAGAATTCATTGTCGTTTTGCTGGCCTCTGCGCTGGTAGGCTGACAAATGTTCATATTCACCGATAGGTGTCGGCACCAATCCTCCGAAGATTAACTTCGTGTACACACTCTGATCCTCGCTCTCCTTTACCATAATGCTTTCATACGGCTGGTCTGGGTTCGAGGCATTTGTAGTACCGGTTTGCACTGTCCAAGGCCCCGTATGTTGCCTCCCATCACTATTCATCTCCGTTCTGTGTTTTGATGCTGTCAGGACTTCGGCGTTTTCATAGGCAACATTGTCGTAATCCTGCGTCTGGGTAACAGCTGGTGCCGAGGAGCGTTCTGTCGCTGGTCTTCTGTCCCTGTTCCTATAGCGTCGACATACAAAGAAAACCGAGATAGCGGCGAGGACGACGGCCCAAATGACGGCAAATGTCATGCCTATGATAAGACCTATTGTGACTGCTGTACCCTGATCTAATGGCGCTGCTGCATCAATTACCGCCTCAAAGTGTGAACCTGTAGTAAAATTATAAACCAGAACGTATACGTAACCGTTATATATATATATATATATATATATATATATATATATATATATATATGCTCAGGGTAATTCCGTAAACCTCTTATCACTCTTATCAATAACAATTTGTGCGAGTCATGTGAAGGATGTGTTTTGTGGGCATTTTAAAAAAACTTTCCAAAAATGACAACACGAAAACATGTAGATGCCATCGTTTGAATGGCAAATTATAGGAAGTCATCAAGCTTGAGTGACTATGAAGCAGATTGTTAGGCAGTTCAAATAGTACTTAAATGGCACACTGACTGCCTTTCACGCGAGTCCATAAGCATAATACTATTTACTAATAATAATACATCCACGTCCATCGGACGCCAGTTCAAACCCATTTCTACATGAACACGTGTAGCTACCACGTGTATTGTGACAGTTATGATCACACGCGTGAGTCCCCTTGCTGCACTCGTCAACATCTAAAAAGTAAAAAGTAGATCAGGGCTCCGTATCTCGAAAGGTTCGCTATGTTGCGCACGTGCGCAAGTGTCTCGATTCTATTTCGAGATACGGGGCCATAGAATCGAGACGCCTGCGCACGTGCGCAACATAGCGAACCTTTCGAGATACGGAGCCCTGTTTAATATGACCAAATGTTACAAATTTGTCGTATTGGGAAATACATCTGGCTCTTTGTTATACTAAGAACAACATGCATTTAGCATACAATACTACCCTACAGAATTGTTTACCACAAGAAATTTTTAAAACAAGCAGCTGACATGTGCACTGTGACGCGCTAAGCCGTGAGAATACCACTTACCAATACACCCATGACCATCGGACGCCAGTCCATACCCATTTCTACATGAACACGTGTAGCTACCACGTGTATTGTGACAGTTGTGATCACAGGCATGAGTCCCGTTACTGCACTCGTCAACATCTGCAAAACATAATTCGTATATGAATTCTACCAATGGTACAAAACCAGTGCAAAGTTTCTTGTCAGAGGCAAGAATGTAACCCTTATTGCAAGAGCAGTAGTAGTTGCCACGAAGATTGTTACATTTCTGCTCGCAGCCATGATGTGACGCTGAACATTCGTCATGATCTGAAATTGTTATAACAAAAATGCATTAAGTTGTAGTCTTAGCCACTATGATGTCTCATTTATAAATAAATTCCAAAGATGTTCTTTTCAACATAACAAGAAGCATTTATTCATCTTACTTCATAATTTAAAACAACCATCTGTATTGCTGACTAGTATATACCGGGTACATGACAAGGATTTTATACGCACACAGCGCTGATTACTTATAAGATAAATTTCGAATATTATAATGATAGTTTCTTACATGTTAGGAATTATTATTATATGACAGCCCCTTGGATGAAGCTGATCGGATACCAGGTACATGTATGACGGGTAAACCAATATCAACCTTACCAGAGCAAGTCAGGCCGTTCCCGTCCAACACAAATCCAGTTCTACAAGTACAAAAGAAACTTCCCACGGTGTTGGTACAGCTATGGGCACAGCCGCCATTGCCAGTGGAACATTCGTTAATATCTGTCAATATACATACGTCAACATATATACTGTAAGTAAATATATATATGCGACTTCAGTAGAATTCATGACTTTATTTCCAGCAAAATGTTACGAATTAAAGCAAAATTTGACTGAATATAATAATTACTCAGCATGTTTTACCGCAAATCACGAACCATTTCGTAGTATTTTATACACGGAACGTCGCTTACAACGTAGAACAAATGTGATATTCGACGATTTTTCCGTTTTGATTCCAAAATAGTTTGCATATACAGTAAGTGGAACTTCCTACCTTTCTGTCAAACTAATGTTATACTTCTACAATTATTGCTACTACTACTATTACTAACACTATTCGAACTATTACCATTGCAGCTACTACTAGACTCCTGTTGTTGCTGATGCTAGTACTAATACTACTACAATTACAACTTCTACTACAATAGCAAACACTATTATTAATTCTTCTACTACTGTTGGTGCTTTTTAGTCACTTTATCTTTTTCCGGCCTTATACTCCTAATACTAATGTTGTTGCTGCTGCTAATACTGTTACCACTACCGTAACAGCGATCGGTAGTACTAATACTACAACAACTACTACTACTACTACTACATCTACTACTACAACGTCTACTTATCGGCATCACACCGTGTTCCACTGTAACCGCTTGTACAGGTGCACACATTGGGGGCGGTACAAGAACCCTGGACACACCCACGACTACAGATTGCTTGTATAGAATAGAAATGTATACTAGTCAAGCAATATCAACGAATATTATGGCAATAGTAGCATGTATTGAAATGAATGAACACATGCTTCGGTGTATTCCTAATAACGGGTTTCTTATTATATCATCTTATTATATAATAAACCAAATAAAAATTATACTCGAAATATGCTCATGTATACATGTATAATCTCTTAGTATAAAACAAGCCACTGTCTTATATTAACTTTGCGATTCAAGGATTATAGCATGCTATTTTAGAAAATACGTTAACTAAAATTTAGGTTTTAAACTTATATAAAAAGTAATAATAAAATAAACGAACAAATAATTTAAGGAATATGGAGATTTAACATTTTACTTGTATTATAAATTATACTCACGAGTGTTACAAGTTGATCCAGTTTGTTTCCATCCCTGACAACAAGTTTGTGCCAGGCTATATTGCGTCTTGTACACTAGCTTGTTTTAGTATGTTGTAGAATATCTGGAAAATGACAATCTTGTAAATGAGATGAATGAGGCCCGGATGTGGTTTTGAAATCAAGGCAAACAGTGTACGTTAGACCTTTATAACAGTTATTGGATTTACATGGAACTTCAGCAATCGTTCAATGTCTTTTAACATTTAACATCATATCCAAAATGTGTTTTGAATATTACGATTTGTTAACTCATTTTATTATATTAACATTCTTAATTGGCACGACGATAAATTACCACCCCCATTGCGAGGTTGATTCAAAAATCAGAAAACACGTGCTGTCATTTGACCATTTTGACGGCGGGACGGATTAACCACAGGGAGCGCTTATAGTTTGTTATAATGATGTTGTATGGCTAACACAGCAGTATTTTATTTAAGAAGCCATGACATCAGAGGGTAGCTTTCTACCTATACCAAACGATCGGAATACAGCAATAAAATTATGTAAATAATGAGAAAAACCGAAATTCTTTCTTATTTTATACTTTTGTCTGTAGAGAGAGAGACTATGAACACTAAATTGCAACTTTATACCGGTAGATATTTCGAAGGTTACTGTATATCTAGAATTAAGTATCCAAAATAGTTTTGCCTCCAAGAATACCGGTACAATGTACAATTGCGTGTTGTTCCAATCTCAACAATTTCTTTGATAATAATCTATAGTCCATTACACAACAACCTTGTCGAAAAAGACAAGAAATCAAACTACATGTATTTCTAGATTGACACCTGAGAGTGCAAATAATGAACATTGTGAGCAAAGCATGAATCGCACGTGTTTGAAGAAAAAAAATTGTAGCTCTTGGAAATCACATGAAAAATTTTTTAATGTTATATTGGCAATTGATGCCCCTTAAGCTTCCTTTTGGCGCATTTATTGAAAATAACAAATGACATTCTGCAGCAAGATGACAAGATGTTGAGTTTTTTAGTGGACAAAATGCTGAGGAGTAAGCTTTGCAGTAAAAAAAAAGAAGTTTGCATCTAGTCATCTAGCTCCAAAAACCGCATTGCGAATATTCCGTACATTTAACTTGTTTTTCTTTTTCAGATTTTTACACGTTGAGATTAAATCTCGATATAAAAAAAAAAACAAATTAAATGAGAAATTAAAGAGTAATTTTCCAGCCAACCTGTATCTGTCCCCCTATCGGGTGCTTCGCTTTCACCCTCCAAACCAGGAATTTGTGGAATAACGTTTGCTGATGTGCAAATCATTGCTAATCTACCTTTTGTGTCAATAAAATGTCACACCCCAGAGTTATTAAGTAAGTCACCACGTACCTGTATCGTGTACATGTCTTCCACCAAATGTCACAATTTGTCGTATATCGTTGTTGTTTGGTTGCTTTTATATAAACCATCACCAATGTACTTTTCCGTCGAGTACAGACATGTCTAAAATAAGACAAAATTAATGTATTAATTAAACATACACTTCCCACGTTTAAATAATTATCAAAGTCACATTTATTCTATGTCTAAATATGCTGCAAATCTACTTAATTCTTTCACAATTCAGACCTTTAAAAACGTCAAATATCTCAATCATGTACATAGAGACATTTCTGTTTAAGTTACTGATCTATCTTTTAGAACTTAAGATTTTATTAGAAATGGAATAACACATAGAATAAAAGTGTGTCACAGATCGAACAAAGATTAAGTTACACGGTGGACGTCCACAGATTGGCATTTTAAAAATAATAATAATAATATTTATTATTATTATTATTATTATTTATAGTCTAAAATCCAACGTATGTTCAATAGACTTTACACATTTATAAAATTCACAATTAAAAGAAAAAATTACTAATGGTCATAGGATAAATAAAAGGAAAAATTATAATAGAAAAAAATGTTTAAGCTAAAAAAAATAGATATATAAAATACATAATAACGTTCTGTGTTTGCTGGATATAAAGTATCAGTTTTATAAAGCCGAGTAGAACAATGAGACACACGTAAAACTTATTTTATAGGTAAAGGCCTACTGCAGTCTCTCAGTGACATGAACATAGATGAAGATAAGAATGATTATTGTACATGAGCGCCATCTAGCGTCAAATCGAGTTTTGGCTACTAGTTGCGTTTTCACGACTAGTCGTATTTCGCCGTCTGATCTGATAACTGCGACGCCTAATCGTGTTTTAATGCGTGAAATTCAGAAATGCCTCGTTTAATTCCAAAGTATCGCCGTCTGATCTGATAACGACGACGACTAATCGTGTTTTCAATTCGACTAATCTGATAACGACGACGACTAATCGTGTTTTTAATTTTTGTATAAACTGCCGCCCATTACAAAAGGGGCTGAGCTAATGACACTGGACGGATAGAGGTAATATACAGAAATGGAGTCCGTGCACGACTGCGTTTTTAACGATATAAATAGTGTGGATAGAAATAAATATATTTGTTGTGGGTACGCAGACACGTGACGTTTATGTGCGAACTGTTCAGTAAGGTCTGAGTAGTGTTAATATCATGTGACTGGTCACTTGAGTAGTGTTATCAAATAGAAGGTGATGAGGAAAAGTAGATTTTAGAGTTAGGTCATTCGAAGGCTCTTTCGCATTCCGTGAAGATGGCAGATCAAACTGATTCGGGTCCACGCCCCGAGGACCCAGAAAGACAAGAAGGTACGCTTAATGTGGGCGAAGCATTCGATTTACTGAAAACTATCGTTCAAAACCAGTTTGAATCTTTTTCTGAACAGCAATCCCGTTCAATTGAGTCCTTCGAGAAAAAGATAAAGAATTCTCGCGACACTATCTTGAAAGGAGAAGGAAATAAAGCAGCATTCAATTTCAACTTAGATATTCTGGATGGTCTAGAAACTTAAGAATTAAGAGCTCACGAAAATAAGGACTCAAAATCCATCCAGATAATTACGGGGATGAAGGAGAAAATCCGTCAACGTAACAAACATATTCGAATCGCAGACTCCTCTCCTGCAGGTTGGAAAACCGTGAAAGAGTATCAAATTTCCGACTTTGCTGACGATTCCGGAGATGAAAGAAAGATCAGAGCAGCGGAAAACAGGGCTCTTCGTCAATCGCGTAAAAACAACTACCGTTTTTCTCCATATGCCACTCCCACCGCAGCCGCAGGTGCGCCTTTTTCTACCAACAGAGCAATGGCTTCCTCGCCGTAACCAGGGCCTTTTCCTTCAGCCGCAGTCAGCTCAGCAGGCCAGTTGAATCCCAGTCTAGGGCCCAGATTTCCCACTTTTTCGTCACAGCCTTTTCGTAGGATCCGCAAACTGAATCCGTCCGACATCTGCTTCCTCTGTTTGCAGCCAGGACACTGGAGATCAAGCTGCCCCAACGCCCAAGTTAAACCAGAACCAGAGAACCAACGCAATTGAAAATGTAAAAGATAAGTATTTTCTGAAAGATCCAGAAACTTTTGAATGCTTGACAGACTTACATTTGCGCCAACATATAGAACATTTTAAAAAACTTGATCGTAATTTCTCAAAGACAGACGGCATTAAAGGAAGTCTTCGTGCCCATATGCAATTTTGGAAAGACATGAACACTTATCGCATTATAAGTCAAGTTTATAATAAAATTAGATTCTTAAGAATAAATCAATAAATAAATAAAAATAAATAAATAAATAAAGATACATGCATATTAATTCATACGTAGTAAAAAAAATTCATCAAAAATATATATTTAACGGTACGTTGATTAAAGTGAGGAGTAGAGTAAGTCATTCGTAAATTAAGTCGAACTAAATTCAGAGACAGAGAGAGAAAGTGAATAGAGAGAGAGAAAGAGAAAGTGAATAGAGAAAGAGAGAGAGAGAGACAGAGAGAAAACGAGAGAGAGATTGTTCAGGTGATAGATTAATTGTGATCATTATGCATTGCAGTTGAAGAAGGCCTGGTGCATAAAATTAAATCGACAAACAGAATTAATAATAATAACAATAATTATAATAGAAATTATTTTTAGAATTTTTCTTACTTATCAAAATTCATAGGCTTTACATAATTACATTCTGTTGCTTGTTGTGCTGAGTTGAGGAAGTCCTAGTACAACAAGTTAAGTCGGTCTAATTTAAAGAAAGAGCGAAAGAAAAAAAAATATCAAATAAGTTGTTCGCATTCATTATGCATTGCAGTTGAAGAAGGCCTGGTGCATACAATTAAATCGACAAACAGAAAAACAATAATAATAACAATAAAAAAATTATTTTTAAAATTTTTTCTTTGCTTATCAAAATTCATATGCTTTGCATAATTACATTCTGTTGCTTGTTATGCTGAGTTGAGGAAGTCCTAGTACAACAAGTTAAGTCGATTTAATTAAAAAAAATCGTTTGCATTCAATATGCATTGCAGTTGAGGAAGGCCTGGTGCATATAATTAAATCGACAAACAGATAAAAAAAATCCAAATAAGTGAATTATATTTTATATTTGTTTATATATGTTACATATATATATATATATCTGTTGCTTAATGCATGGAGTTTTAGTCCTCATACATTAAGTTTAAGTCGATCTAATTTGAAGAATGCGTAAGAGATTTTAAGGAAAATAACTGAAATGTTGAAATATATGTCACAGCAATTTGAACTCGGAAGAAGAGAAAATTTTAGTAGAAAATGAATGAAAGAATGAAATTAAGACGAAGCGATAAAGAAAGAGAGAGTGAAGAGTTTACGAGTGAAAGAGAATTCTTGTGAAAAGGAACTTTTATCGGAGAAGACGATTTCAGTTATGATAAATATAACAGAAACCGTTAGTTGGATTGAATGTGTTTTCAGAAGGAATTATATATATATATATATATATATATATATATATATATATATATATATATATATATATATAAAAGATAATTAAATAAATAAATAAATATTCACATTTTATTTTGACATATCATTCTGTTTGCATAGAATACAAGGATACACTCTTCTTTCTTTATCATCGAAATGAGCGCTTCCATACCTAACACTGTGTCTGTGTTTATACTATAAATATTTTATGTTCGTTTGAGTGTAACGAATTAGAACATAAATACAGGTATATTTGTTGTGGGTACGCAGACACGTGACGTTTATGTGCGAACTGTTCAGTAAGGTCTGAGTAGTGTTAATATCATGTGACTGGTCACTTGAGTAGTGTTATCAAATAGAAGGTGATGAGGAAAAGTAGATTTTAGAGTTAGGTCATTCGAAGGCTCTGTCGCATTCCGTGAAGATGGCAGAGAATATATATAATTCCCTCCCACCCACCCAATTTGAAGTTTTACTTTATAAATTAAAAAAAAATGTGTTAAGCTTGTTTGTTTGAATAAATATATTTAATAAATAAATACGAGATATAATAAGTAAAGATTAGAAAGAATAGAAAAATTAGTTTTAGTCTTAGTTCAAGCTTTTCAGTGTTATACTTATTTCATAACAGAACGTTTTAATTTTTCAGCTCGGATCCTGGTACGGCAGAAGACAAAGCAAGATGGAGTTAAAAAAAAAACAAAAAAACTCAAGAACTGATCATTATCATTATTATTTTATTACACTTTTAAAAGACTTGTTTTACATATATTTGTTTTAATCACTTTGTTCAAAGTTTGGTTCGTTAAAATAATAATAATAATAGCAAGGATATAATTATGGTTTTCAATGTTCAACAACGACTGAATTTATGGCAATTCAAACGGAAATAAAGCACACGGAACGAAATGAGCGCTTCCATACCTAACACCGTGTCTGTGTTTATACTATAAATATTTTATGTTCGTTTGAGTGTAACGAATTAGAACATAACGATCTCTACCTAACCCTAATAGATTCCGACTCACAGGGGGTATCTAGTTCTGATCTTTCCTGAAAATGTCATCTAAATCTATTTTTTTACTTTACTTTAATTTTACTTTAATTTAGCCTGGCGACGAACAAACAGACAATAAACGAAGATGAAAACATTGCCTTCTTGGCGGAGGATATAAAGTGACTTACAGGTAGCTCTGTCAAATTTTATGTCCATATTTTAATGTACTTTTAATTAGTTTGACCATTTAGTCTTACGTCATATCTACCCTAATAAAACAATCTGTGTGAAATTTTCAAAATAAAAGAATTAAAAAACTGTCTCTGAAAGGCTTCATAGTGTAGTACATTATCTGGCGGGGTCCTTTACAAAAAGAAAACGGGTGCAAATAGTCGGAACACATATTCTGTATGTAAGCTGATTAAACATGGCGAATAACACAGATAACGTGTAAACGACCCCAACAAAAATTAATAGGGTTAATAAGCAACTTTCACATATTTTGCTTGGTTTGATTTGGCTAGATAAAATGTACAGTCACACAAATGACTAGATAACATATTTGAATTGAAAATAAAAAAGTGAACTTACCCAGTAAGAGAATAAATCTCGCCACATTGCTGAAACAAAATAACTAACAACAAACCCCAGCTAGTGGCAGCCATTTTCATGGTTCACCTTCGTGTAGCGATCTGCACGTTAAATGAATGTCGGGACTACTTTCCTCACGCTTCCCTAATCCTCTCTACCAGCACTCGGGGCCATCTGTTAAAAAAAATCTTAAATGGCATCATCTTAGGTAAATGACATATTTATCCGATGTAATGTTTATACACAGCGGTGTCTAATCAGTTATCAAAGTCCTAAATTCCAGTTGCGTCAACATTCCTATACAGGTCTCCTTTTTCCGCCTGCCATCAGTAAGGTCCGGGTGCCGGTGTACCATGAAAATCTGACTCCCCTAAAATGTGACTCCCCAGTCAGATTTTCATTATGAAAATCTGACTCCCCAGTCAGATTTTCATGATGAAAAACTGACTCCCCCTATGAAATTTTGACTCCCCCCCAAAAAAACATTCATTAATCTCATTTTATTTGAGTAAATGACTATGATTTTGTAGTATGCATAATGGGTGATACATTGGCAATTTTTTGTAGTTTGCAGGTGAAAATTTTCATTAAAAAAAAGAAAAATTAAAAATGTGCACATAATGAAAATGTGGTTCCCCTAAGAAAATTCGATTCCCCTACAAAAAAACATTCATTAATCTCTAATTAATTTAGTATATGACTGTGATCTTGTAGTATGTAAAATGGTTGATACATTGGCACATTTTTTGTAGTTTGCAGTGAGAATTTTAATGAACAAATAAGAAAATTAAAAATGAGCACATAATGAAAATCTGACTCCCCATGAAAATTTGACACCCCCTCCACAAAACTTCATAAATCTTATTTTATTTTGAGTATATGACTGTGATCTTGTATTATGTAAAATGGTTGATACATTGGCATATTTTTGTAGTTTGCAGTGAAATTTTTAATGAAAAAATAAGAAAATTGAAAATGTGCACATGGTTAAAAAATTGAGAGAAAAAAAGTAATAAAACACATGAAAATAAGAAAAATTAAGGATTTGTTTTCTAACACCCAATGGCTCCCCTATAAAAGCTATTTATTTGATGTTTGATGATCATTCTGACAACTTTTCTTTTATGATACTTTATGAAAAAATTTATTGGAAATATTAAAAAGTTTTATGGTAAAATACTGCATGAAAATAAATGAAAATTGGATAATAAATTTGCATTTTTGTACCCGTAGGATTTTGACTCCCCTAGTTAAAAGCACTTATTTCATATTTAGCACACATTTAAATGTTTCTACTTTTTAGTTTTCTTATGGAGAACATATGTGGAATATTTAAATTTTGTGGGTAAAAATTTTTGCAATAAGTGTTTGAAATTTAAAAATAGTGAGAAATTNTGCAAACTACAAAAAAATGTGCCAATCTATCCTCCTTTTTACATACTACAAGATTACAGTCATATACCCAAAATAAAATAAGATTTATGAAGTTTTATGATGGAGGAGTCAAATTTTCACGGGGGAGTCAGATTTTCATTATGTGCACATTTTTATTTTTCTTATTTATTCATTTGAATTTTCACTGCAAACTACAAAAAATGTGCCAACGTATCATCCAGTTTACATACTACAAGATCACAGTCATATACTCAAAATAAGATGTATGAAGTTTTGTGGAGGGGTAGTCAAATTTTCATGGGGGAGTCAGATTTTCATTATCTGCACATTTTTAATTTTCTCATTTTTTCATTAAAATTTTCAATGCAAACTACAAAAAATGTGCCAATCTATCCTCCATTTTACATACTACAAGATCACAGACATATACCCAAAATAAAATATGATTTATAAAGTTTTATGATGGGGGAGTCAAATTTTCATTATGTACACATTTTTATTTTTCTTATTTTTTCATTTGAATTTTCACTGCAAACTACAAAAAAATGTGCCAATCTATCCTCCTTTTTACATACTACAAGGTCACAGTCATATACTCAAATAAAATAAGATGTATGAAGTTTTGTGGAGGGGGAGTCAAATTTTCATGGGGGGAGTCAGATTTTCATCATGAAAATCTGACTGGGGAGTCACATTTTCATAATGAAAATCTGACTGGGGAGTCACATTTTCATGGGAGTCAGATTTTCATGTTACACCGGAATAGTCACTCAGTCAGCCATAAAAGAGCTTAAAATGGCACTTTCATCAAAATTTTGGTCATAAATTTGACCTTATCTGCCCCATTTATATACAGCACAGAAAACAAAAAGACAAAGCAGTTCAAATATCATAGTATATAACTATGTCTTTCAGTAATATGAAACTACATCTTTCGGTGTTTTTCTGAGTTTAACTATTTGAAGCTATAAAGTGGTGAGCTTTTGTGGCAAAAAATTGACTTCAAATGCATCTACTTATTTCATTTTTAGATTTAGACGAACTGGAACCTAATGTGTATTTGAGTCCATTTTTGGAAGTGATTCGCTCCGAAGACACCACTGGGCCTATAACAGGGCTTGCACTCACTTCTATCAACAAATTTCTATCATATGGACTTTTAGGTAAGATACTCTTTCATCTTTGTGAGTTTGAGGTCAAACAGACAGCCTTTAAATAAGTAGTGGTTTCAGTAAAAAAGGGGCGTTTTTGTTGTCTTATGAACTTCAGTTTTTGTTGTGATATGAAATGAGCATTATATGATATTTAATCTTTATGTAATAAGGTTGAAAGTTGGGAAGTTGAATAGCAGGTTTTTTCAAAGTAGCTCTGAAATAAAGTAATTTATTTTTAACTTAGTTCATCAATTTTTTTGTTTCAGATCCTTGTTGTGATACAGCCCCTGCTGCCATAGAGAATATAGCTGATGCTGTAACCCATGCACGCTTCGTAGGAACTGACCCAGGATCTGACGAAGTGGTACTCATGAAAATATTACATGTAAGTGTGTGCAAATGCCTTCTTGTTGGCATAAAATCTTGGACTGCAGAGGAATACTGCATGTGGAAATAACATTATTTATTATTTTATTTAAAACCAATTTGATGTATACTGCTTTCAGGTTTTCTACTAATTTGATTTTGTTTTCTTTGAAAAAAAAAACAGCATTATTTTCTATTTGTTTCTACTTTCTCTTGTCTTAATGTTCTAATTTTGTTTTTCAGAACTGTTTTTGGTGTAAATCTCTGTTTTCTTAATTGACATTAATTGGCATTTTCCCATGACTCACCTGCCAAATGGTTATTTATAGGTGTTGCGGACACTGCTACTGACCGCTGCTGGGGCTCAGCTGACCAATGAGTCTGTCTGTGAGATAATGCAGTCATGTTTCAGAATATGTTTTGAGATGAGACTGAGTGGTATGTACCGAGTGGTACCTTAGTGTCCAGTTTAATTCATTATTGTTGTCTGAGTAAAACATCATTGAATTTTTCTTCTTTTGTCCACGTGTAAAACTTTTCAGTTTCTCATTCCCCTTGCTTGTATATGTAGGCAAAATTATTGTTTTGTCAGCTGAAAAAAAGTAATTTTGAAGGAACAACCATTAAAAAAAATTAGTTTAACTCATTGTTAATTGATTTTTTTTTCATAGATTAACCAATATTGATAAATGGTTGTGCAGCACATGCCTATATTTAATATTACAGAGCTGTTACGTAAGTCAGCTGAACACACACTTATGGACATGGTTCAGCTCCTGTTCTCTAGACTTCCTCAGTTCAAAGAAGATGCTAAATGGGCTCTGGGGATGAAGAGGGTGAGTTTTATAGAATTGAAATTGAAACATGATTTCTTTATAATGATGATGAATACCTATGGTAATCTACAACATAATTTTTCTTGATTATTGAATATCAATAGACTCAGTCTAAGCACTGTCTATGATGACTTGCAAAAGCAGTTTTGTATTGATTTTCTTGTAATATCCCATAAGACTAAGTTGGCAAGTTGTATTTTTTTTTTTTTTGCTGATGCATCATTTTTCTCGATACCCATATATCTTGTTTATTGTATGCTCTTTGTTTCCTTCTTTTCTTTTCTCCACATTAGCTAAAAATGAGAGCAGGTGTGATAGAGACGCGATACAAAAAGAAGCGTTCTCCAAAGACAAAAAGAAAAAGATCAGCAGTCCAAGCAGTAGGTGGTAATCAGCTGGCAGCAACCACTGTACCAGAATTAGATGATTCACCAAAAGAAGGGTATTATACTTTTTCAAGGCACTCGCATACAAATAATGATTATCGTTCAAGAAAATCCATGCATTCCCATCTACTAGTACTGATAGCTATGTAGTGAATTGCAGTTTTATTTGTTATATATTTTGTGCAAACAGTGACATAAAGGAAGTTCGATTTATATAGATCCCTTTTATCGTACCACAGTAGGTCTGTTTTCTTGTTTTGTGTAAAGTATTCATCCAACATACAGTGCATTCCTGAACCAATATTCTGTTATAGTGGCACAGAAGCTGTTTCTGACCAGGCTGCACAAAGTGCGACAGCAACAGCTCTGGAAGATGAAGAAGCCATGTTTGAACAGCATGCTACCATAGCCACCACACCAGTGGCTGGAGGAATGAACATGGTGGACATACACGAGGGGTTTCAGGTACGGTAATGTGCCATGAATTTCGAACAGTAGAAAATAATTAAATTTGGGAAAAGATCGTTCTGGCCGAAATTCATGAAATGGAGGTGCTCAGAACTTCTGAAAGTTCGAATTTCATGGAATTCTGTCAATTTTGACCGGAAGTTGTCTGTTCGTCGCTAGGCCTTCTGTTATCTTCTCCCGACGATCTATTTAGATTTACCATAATGTATGATGTGTGAGTGTCGGTAATTGCGACCAAAGGTATACACGTACTTTCACCCGATCACTGTGTATGGCCCATAGATAGAGCGGGCCGCAAAACAGCATCGTTATCAGTAGTGTCGTTTTTCAAAAGCGATTCTGGCAGCCAGAAACTAGTGTCGTTTTTCAAAAACGATCCTGGCGCTCAGAACGGGAGTGGACGGAGGGAGAGACGGTCGACGATTAGCGTCTGCCACGGCCAGATAACCTTTACTAAGGAAGCTTAGTGTTACCGTTGCTCCTTTCCGTGCACTGAAACCGAGACGACAGCCGATCAGTGTTTATGGCGCACGTGCAGGTAGCCTTCNCCTAGGTCTTTGGTGTTCTACTGTTTTTTCTATGGTAAAATCTACACAGCTGGCTCTTCATTCTTTGCTATAAAATAAATTAGTTTTATCCTTTACTTTTCCGAAGAGTCTTGATTCAAAGCCACCTCGCCCTCTGTTTATGGTTTTACTTCCTTCACCATGGATTGTTACCACTGCAGGCAGTCTGTGAACGCTTATATAGTTAGTTATCTTCTCTCGATCAAATAACCTGCAGTAATTCATTATTTTGCGCGGTTAAATATCAAAGAAAATACAGAACACGAAAACTGAACTACAGACGTGGCTTGTTCATGCGCAGCAGACGATTCCGGTCTCCCTCCAGTATGGCTGCCGTTTGTTTTGATGACGCAGGCTCTAATGGGTCAATAGGTGCACATAGCTGTAAAATGACTTAAATTGTGTTGTGGGAGTTCTTTAATTTTTGCTGAGTTGCACAGTGTGGAAATGCCAACCAGTCTCGACTTCAACATCAACCTGGTAGCTTTCAAAACTGTTCTTAAGGTATTTTGAGTGTGTCATTTGTGTCATTATGATAATCTTGAAACATATTTTGATCCTTTTCCTCTGAACAGTTGCACTTGCTGCCCTAAAGAGAAAGAAGAGGTATGAGAAACAACTGAACCAGATTGATGGGACACTCTCAACCATAGAATTCCAGCGGGAGGCCTTGGAAAATGCCAGTACTAACACAGAGGTTCTCAAAGTAATGGGGACAGCAGCAAAGGCTCTGAAGGGTGCCCATAATGACCTGTAAGTTACTCTTCTGTTACCAAGCAGCTATTAAGTGTACTTGTACAGATATAGTTTTAAGTACTGTATACATCTCCCTGTTTTTATGGAAATGATCCTGGTTGTTCTTTTATGGTAAATTATCCAACACATGAGATTATAGGCATGTACACGGCATATGATAAATACGAACAAAATTGAACAATATCATTTTGTTACAAGCAGTATAAATTTTATTGTAAAATTTTATACATATTCTGGAAAGCATCTGCATACACACACTCTCACACCCAGACATATGTACACATCAAGCTTTCTTATTAGTTGTAACCCAGTCTGAGTCGGTGGCAAAAAAAAAGAAATTTTAATCTTGGTGACCTTTTAGGTCTAGGAATATGCTGGCAAAATTTTAAGAAAAGTGACCAAGTAACTGATCAAATATACACAATGTTAATAGTGTCACTCTTGTAGGACCAACATTTGGAATGGAGCCAATGTTGATGTGACAGACCAAGTTAACTTTCTGATATTTTTATTATCTATCAAAAGACGTTTCTGCGGTTAGCCAACATAGTAGGCTTGTTAAGAGGTCAAACGCTGCATTTTATAGTACAAATGTCTAACTTGGCATAAATGTTCCTTGGGCCAAAAGAAAATTTTTTATCCAAAGAGACGCGCTCTATCGATGCATAAATTAGCATAAATTATGCAAATTAGGTGCCAAAATATATAATATTTCATATTTCCATTAATTTTTGGCCTAGAAACATGTATAGATTATCAAACCTGACTAAATAAGGGGCAAGGAACCCATTTTTGATCATTTGGAAGCTAATAGTGGCCATTTTGTGCCTCAAATCCAAGATGGCCACCACCCACCATTTTGAAAATGGACATAATTTTGCTATTTTATGTTGAATTTTGAAGCGTTTGGTCTATATATACTTGATATATATATATCGATTCCTACTATTTTGGGGGTGCAAAAGTCATTTTTGATATTGTTTTGGTGATAGTAGGTGATTTGAAGGAACAAAGAGCGTGTTTTAAGTGCCTACCAAGATATGTGTGAAGGCTGCAAAACCATGGATATTGATAACCGGTATTCAAATATATCTCAATGCAATTTTTTGTTATATACTATCCATAATGGACTAAATTATGAGCAAAAAAAATCATTTTTTACCATTATGGAGGCCATTGGTGGCTGTTTTGTCCCTCAAATCCAAGATGGCCGCCAAAACTATTTTGAAATTTTGTATAATTCGCTATTTTGAAACTATATGTATTACATCTTTGTAAATGAGTAATACATCATTTTATATTATTTTCTGGTGCAGAATACATTATTTGTTTCATCAAGTTTGTGCCTCAAATCCAAGATGACCCTCATACGCCATTTTCAAATTGAGCATTATTCACCATTTTGAAACTTCATAAGCGTGCCATACGTCATTTTTGATTATTTCCTGGTGCAGAATGCATTTTCGGTTTCATAAAATGTAAATAGAAACTTTTATAAGCCTCCAAATAAATATAGGATTCAGTCGCCACATAGGCCTGCAGTTTATATGTACAATTGGTAATCCAATTAGTGCAAAACTGCTTTTGCCCAATCTATAAAACAAGTGTCAGCAAACAAAATGGCTGCATTAAAGCAAAATAATACATCTTTGACCGCATGAGGATAATTGTTAGCCATTATTTTGATCAAAACCAAGTGTTGGTTGCATGTTTAATAATTTGGTGTAATTTATAACCTTTGAACTGTGGGCTTGTATTAGGTAAAATGGTACTATTCTGGGGGCTCAAAAGTAATTTTCCGGTGCTAATTTGGTGACAGAAGATAATAAAAAGGTACCGTAATATAAGGTTGTAAAATAAATTCCAAGATGAGTTTCGTTGAGTCTGTAACAAAAATGTGGAACCCGAACCACATGCTCAAATATATCATCCAGATTTATCTTAAGTGACCATCCACTAAAAGATACTGAATAAGTTAAAGGTAAGCAATAAATATATATACATAGTGGTATTATATTATTAATCTTTTACTGGTCAATGTGAACCAAAAAGCCACATGTACATTTATGTCCCAGTCACTGGGGCTTGCATTTGCATGTTAAATATAGTCCAGAAAATTTGAAGGGTGAAATATGTGTCGTCTTATAATACTATGGAACTTGGTTACTTGCATTGATGCGAAAATGCCCGTGAAAGACAAGCAAATGGACTTTGCTTTGAAATAGCTCCAGATCTTGTCTGCAAAATCATCCAGCAGCACAAAAAAAAAAAATCATGCATGATCAGCTCTGGTAGGCCAGTAAGACAACAGCCAGTAAGAATTGAGGTTTTGTCAGTGTCCTATGAGAAACAGCCAAACAATATATTAAAATCCAGTTTCCAGAGAAACATCAATGCATGAGAACATGTCGCATCAGAGGAAAGTGGTATCTTTACACAAAATAAGGAATCTGCAAAACCAACTAGAAAGCAGCAGCTGCGCAGGTAAGCAAGAGGGATAAAGCAAGTTGACAGTGCCAGTGATCATTCCTAGCATGATTTGGCCAGACAAGTCATCTCACTACCAATAGAAATCCATAAGGCAACTACATAGTTCTCATTGTTTCCAATGGACGAACAAGCACAAAACATCTACAGTATATGACAACTACAGGAAAATTCATCTTGGAATCATCTTAACACACCTTATGCCTTTGTTATTATCCTCTGTCACCAGAATAACACCGGAAATTAATTACGTACTTCCAAAATAGTATCAATTGATGTATTACGATCATATATGAAAGTCCAACAGCTCAAAAAGGTAAATTATGCCACCATTTTAAAATAGTGACAGGCTCTTGGATATGAACAACAGAATAGCTAACAGTAGTCACCATAAAGTCGAATCAGCCATGCTGGTCTCTCGCACTTAATCTATGTCTGGCAAAACCATTTTATAATTGTTATATAACATATTTTTGCACAAATTTGACTTCAAGACGTAAACAAGCGAAGGTGAAGACGTAAGCCTGTANACCAACTAGAAAGCAGCAGCTGCGCAGGTAGGCAAGAGGGATAAAGCAAAAAAGTCGAGGAAGCAGCCTCTTTTCCTAGTTGACAGTGCCAGTGATCATTCCTAGCATGATTTGGCCAGACAAGTCATCTCACTACCAATAGAAATCCATAAGGCAACTACATAGTTCCCATTGTTTCCAATGGACGAACAAGCACAAAACATCTACAGTATATGACAACTACAGGAAAATTCATCTTGGAATCATCTTAAAACACCTTATGCCTTTGTTATTATCCTCTGTCACCAGAATAACACCGGAAATTAATTACGTACTTCCAAAATAGTATCAATTGATGTATTACGATAATATATGAAAGTCCAACAGCTCAAAAAGGTAAATTATGCCATCATTTTAAAGTAGTGACAGGCTCTTGGATATGAACAACAGAATAGCTAGCAGTAGTCACCATAAAGTCTAATCAGCCATGCTGGTCTCTTGCACTTAATCTATGTCTGGCAGAACCATTTTATAATTGTTATATAACATATTTTTGCACAAATTTGACTTCAAGACGTATACAAGCGAAGGTGCAGACGTAAGCCTGTATTGGTGTTGGAGCCTTGTAATATTTTCTTTTTGTATTATATCTCAGAAGAGATAAGACACGACTTCTACAACACAAATGATAAGAAACGATGTATAACATGCTAGTGTAAGAGCAATAGCTTCAAATTGATGAGTTATGCCTTACCCGTATTTCAAAATTGTGACTGGCGGCCATCTTAGATTTTAGGATCAAAATGACTACCAATTGTCTCCAAAGCACCAAGTATGTGTTCTTTACCTTTAATTAAGCCATTTTGGTCTTTGACGCTTGTTTCAAGCTCTTTAGGATTTAATAAAACATTTTGTACTAATTAGACTACATGGCACATGTAAGTCTATTTGACAACTTAAGAATACATGCACATTGATTTTGGAGGCTAAAATAGTTTGTACTCACATTTCATGAAACAGATAATGTATTCTGCACCAGAAAATAATATAAAACGACGTATTACTCATTTACAAAGATGTAATACATATAGTTTCAAAATAGCGAATTATGCCCAATTTCAAAATGGTTTTTGGCGGCCATCTTGGATTTCAGGGATAAAACGGCCACCAATGGCCTCCATAATGGTAAAAATGTGTTTTTTTTGCTCATAATATAGTCCAATAGCGATGGTATTTAACAAAAAATTGCATTGAGATATATTTGAATACGGGTTATCAATATCCATGGTTTTGCAGCGTTCACACATATCTTGGTAGGCACTTAAAACACCCTCTTTGTTCCTTCAAATCACCTACTATCACCATAACAATATCAAAAATGACTTTTGCACCCCCAAAATAGTAAGAATCGATATATATATCAAGTATAGTTAGACCAAACGCTTCAAAATTCAACATAAAATAGCAAAATTATGTCCACTTTCAAAATGGCGGGTGGCGGCCATCTTGGATTTGAGGCACAAAATGGCCACCAATTGCTTCCAAATGATCAAAAATGGGTTCCTTGTCCCTTATTTAGTCAGGTTTGATAATCTATTCATGTTTCTAGGCCAAAAATTAATGGAAATATGAAATATTATATATTTTGGCACATAATTTGCATAATTTATGCTAATTAATGTAGCGATAGAGGGCGTCTCTTTGGATAAAAATTTTTCTTTTGGCCCAAGGAACATTTATGCCAAGTTAGACATTTGTACTACAAAATGCAGCGTTTGGCCATTTTTTGGTCCTTAACAAGCCTACTATCCATGACCTGAACACCTTTTTGAATCACATTTTAGAAGCTTTACACTTTCAACTAATGTGGATGACACAGGACCTAGCCCCTTAAAGTGTTTTGCTATCCAATGAACTTTACTTCAAGTTCATTGTTTTTTATTTCTCACCCACTTCCATTGGGATGTGGTGCTTCAGTCCACTGCTTGGTAGCAGATCTGTGGAT